ACAAATACGTAGTATGGGTAACTGCAAAGAATAAAGGCAACAGAAACTTTGCAACTGAATTCAAACGAAACTGTCTGAAAAATCTAAAATTCATTAAACTTATACAGATATACTAACAATTTGCAATATATAGAAGAAAGATAATATCTTATTTTATTCACTAGTTAACAGGTACATAATTATACATTAATAATATGACTTACCCGAAAATAGTTGATAGCAGTACAGATCGTGCCTGTCACCATCATGAGAAAAACATTACTTTAAATCTGGATTACTTTAAATCTTGTATATCGACAAAGTGGAAAAGCTTTAACGGAAGAAAAATATACTTCACATATATATTATCTAATTAAATTATGAAATAAATACTGACTTCATAGCTTTACGATGCATATCAACGGTATAAATTAATTTCTTATAAATCAAAGCTTTTTTGTCTAAGCTGTTTTTACATACTGCTTGTAGCACTTCAATTGCCATTGCTTGTTCGAAACGATAACTACATATGATTTTTAGACCATAATTAAAAAGTATCTCCAATTTCCCAATTTAAATGTATTGTTCTTTTTTTATATTTATCTTTTACCTGGCAATTCGGAAACATTCCACATGCATACTGCAGATAAACTATGAGCAACGTTCCTGTCGCTAACATTGAGGTAATCCATATGAAAGTGACCACGTTTATATGTATCAAAATTAAATAGTATTTTTCTTGATCGACGAAGTATTCAATTATAAACAGCAACGATAGATGAGGTCGACTCTCATTTATGGGAAACAGAATATCACACACAATCGGCCAAAATTGATTCAAAAGTAAAAAGGATATTGCAAATACAACAACTACTATATAAAAGTCATATTAAAATCAATACGTCTGATTAAGAAGATATTATGATGATTTCAAATAAATCTTTAATTTTTATATGTAACAAATGCTAAAAATAATTATCTTACTTAATAACGTAATTGTGTAGCGTTTTGCGCTGCTAACATACTTTTCTATGATGTCTATTTCATTTTCATCAGATAATTCATTATGTGTGCTGTAATTGCTCCATTAAACTTTTCACCTGTTGTTTATACAATATTCTACGTTGTTTTTCTTGATTAAATTCAACAAAGTGATAATATTTATATTATTTATATAAAATTATATTATATATATATTATATTATATATTATAAAAAATTCGTTTCCGAAAATATTTATGTTTATGCATACTCGAATGTTTATGTTCATGCATATAACAGATATGTTTTACTTACGATTTCAATATTTCTACTAAATGAACCATATTTAATTATAAAAACAATATAAAATAATACGGAAGAAAAGACATTAATGAGGAGATCCATAATACATTTTGAAGTTAGAAATGTCATAAGCTATAAAAAATAATTGTATGTAATAGCAAGATTAGGATATAACACATTTTTTATATCACCGATATCGTTACAGTTACTTTTCTTTACTAATGAATTGGTTACAACGTTATTATTTTTTATTAATACCGAGCAATATAACCATATTTTTTTAGTAATGATAACAAACGAATACAATTATTATTTTACACATATACAATTTTTGCGTTCTGCACATATGTGTAGAATAAATGCAGGCAAGTCTTAAAAAGATTGTTTCACGAGAATATCACAGAAATTCAATTCATTATTCCATGACGATTCCATAATGATAACGATAACTCTTTCTTTCAAATAATGGGTAACGATGATGAGTTATTTGTTGATAAGTAACGATAACAAATTATTTTGAAAGATAATCTTTTTGATCATATACGGTAGATTATATTAACATTATATTACTTTTTTTATCCCAGTAAAAGTTATTAATTATAAATTAAGATTATCCTTTTAAATGAATAATAAATAAATAATTAAATAGAAATATTCTATGTTTAAAATTTTAATGACTAAGAATAAACAATTTCCTTTTTCCTATTTTGTACAAATTTAATAATACATTTAATTATGTAGATAATCACATAATTAAATGTATCATTACTGTAAAGTATTTATTTGCAAGGCAAAAGTCTATTTCAAACGGAAATATTCTAAAGTATTTGTACAGTTTTTAAATGAAAAGTATTAACATACCTGAAATAAAATAAATGTTGTTAAAATACTAAAAAGTAGAATTAATGCGAATTGAACGCGAACAAGTTTAGATTGCTGATATGGCCATAAACCGATTATGAGTAACAGAATTCAATTGACTTTGAAATTGATATGTAGAAAGTCGATAGAGACCATGTTTAGTTGAATGTTGAAATTCAATAAAATCAATAGATCATGCGATAGAAACAATATATTTGCTTCTTATTATTTTGAATACTCGACTAAATTTTTTATAGTATCATTTTTCTATTTTGTCCAATTTATGATGCAAAGTATAATAAAAACATTATCGTTGAACGTGTAATTTAACATTGTTTTTTCAACCGATTAAACGATCAATGTAATGTAACGAATTGAGAACAAATGTTTATTTTCCATAGGAAAATACTAGTAAATATATTCCCTGAATAGTTCGCGCAAGCGCATTAGCGGATCTCCATTAACACATTTTGTTATTTATCTAATAGTACGTGAGTATGTTACATTCTGATATTCCAATAAGATAACTCATTTTCATATATTGATATCATTTTTTATGAATGTATTTTTTTATATAATTTATCATAATTTATTAATTTATCATAAATCATTAATTGTTGAAATGGAAATACATATTTGAATATTACTGTTGACATTCCTGTTACCGTATCGTTTCGGCGTATGCAATAGTGAGCATTCTTGTTGAAGTTATGCATCAATGCCTCATTGGATTTTTTTTACATTGTTAATCAATATTAGGCAATATTATTTGTACATAACAGACTCCATTTTGATATTACCATTTGCTTTGCTATATACTGTATATATTATTAATTTATTTATTTTGCGTAGAATGAAGAAGAACGAAATATGATAATGTAGCATTCATCAGCTGTAATATTCAGCTTTAGCGAGCTTTTTTACTTTATATATTTAAAATACATTGAATATATAAAATATTATTATTTAAAATACATTGAAATATATTACTTACTGTAGCAGCACCTTCAACCGATGCAACAACTAATCCGCCAATATTTAAATTGAAAACTTTGCTACTTCTTTGTAAAAGGAACAATATCATTTTTTGTATTTGTAAAGGCGCTGTATACCACCGAACATTGTACCTACGTTACAGGTTTTGATTAATAATAATTACATGTTCTACATTGTACGTTGTAAAATCGAATTAATCATACAAGGAAAAATAAGAAAATATAGATTTATAAATCACGTCTACTCGTCTTTCGTGCCATATTTGTTGAAGTGATTTCTATTGTGCGATAATTTATAAGGTGGATTTATGTGTGTGCGTGTGCGTGTGCGCACGCGATTGTATTAAAAATCTTTCTTACACGGTATCATATACATCATTATTGTGATCTATAATTTGTTGGCCAATATAACCACTAATAAGTATACACAATACTAATGTCAGTACGGACATCATAGGTATTAGAAATTTCTTAAAATTGAATCCAAATGAAACTAATTGAAAAATCTAAAATTTAAATCTTAAATTTAGATACAGTGCACTAACAATCTTAATACAAATTACAAATATGAGAGTAATTTATTTTATCGCTAAGTAACAATTATAATTACAAATAGATAATGGGACTCACTTGAAAATAATTAATAGCTGTACACCATATTCCAGATAGCATCATGAGGGAGAACATTACTTTAAATTTGGATATTGACAAATCGGAAAATCTTTAACAGAAAAGATATAGTTAATACTTATTTTATAATTATTTTATTATAAATAAATTATTAATTAAATACCAACTTCATAGCTTCACGATGCATGTCGACACCATCAATTAATCCTTTATAAATCAATGTTTTTAAGTTGTTCTTCTGTGACATATCCATTGCCATCGCTTGTTCGATACGATAACTGCACTGATTTTTATACGATAATTAAATGGAACATTTAATTCTCGTATTTAGATACTTTTTCCTTTTACATTTGTTTTCTTACCTGGCAATTCGGAACATTCCACATGCATGCTGTTGATAAATTATGAGCAATGTGCCTGTCCCTACCATTGTGATCATTCCTATAAAAGTGGCCGCGTTTATATGTATCAAAATTAAGTAATAATATTTTTCTTGATCGACGAAATATTCAGTTATAAACAGCAACGATAGATGAAATCGGGTCTCATTTATAGGGAACAGGATATCACACACAATCGGCCAAAATTGATTCAAGAATAAAACGAATATTCCGAATACAACAAATACTATACAAAGATTTTTAAATGAGTACATTTGGTTAAGAAACGTATTAAATATTTCAAATATTGAAACGTATTAAATATTTCAAATATTGAAGCTTCATATAATGTACTATATGTACTAAATATATGTACTAAATATATGTACACATATATGTACTAAAAATAATTTTCTTACCTATCAATGTAATAGTGTAGTGTTTAGCATTGCTACCATATTTTTTTATGATATCTATTTCATTTTCATCAGATAAATCATCACAGATATGCTGCAGTTGTTCCAGGAAATATTTCACCTGTTATTTTTACAATATGATGGATTGCTTTTCTTGATTAAATTTGACAAGACGGTATTTATATTGTATATAGCAATGAAAATATTTACGTATTTTACAGCACAAATTTTGCATGTATATTGTAGCAACATTGCTGCTATGATGCTGCAATATAATCGTAAAATTTGCGTTTTATGGCTTTATACATACTCGAATACAACAGATTTATTTACGACTTCGATATTCATACTAAGTGAACCATATACTATTATAAAAACAGTGTAATATAATGCAGAAGAAAGAACATTAATGAGGAGATCCATAGTACATTTTGAAGTCAAAAATATTGTAAACTGTAAAAAATGAATTTATATAATAGGAACATTAAAATATAACGCTTTATTTACGCTTTATCATTGTTACTGTTACATTTTTTTTTAAATAACAAATTAACTTCGAGATTATATTTCTCTTTTTATTAATCTCTATTAACTGTAATGGCAATACAACAACATTTCTTAAGTAACGATAACGGATAAGTTGTTAGTTTTCATATTTGCACAAGTACAATTATTGCGTTTTAAAAATGTAGGACAAACACAGGTGGACAACCACCAATGAGGTTTTATAACGACATCTTCAAAATTTGATAAAAATATAACAGAAATTCATTTGAATTTCATGAATAAGAATAACAACTTCTTGTTTTCAGTAGATAAAATCATAGTTTGCTTGAATATATAATAAATAACAATAACGAGTTATTTTTTTGAAGTAACATTTTAATTCCGCATAATAAATTGTAATTTTATTAATTCTTGTATCTGGTAATTAAGTTGTTGTAATTGTTATAAGTTAAAATTGTTAATTATGATATAAAATAATTTAATATTATGACTTTACATACACAGTTTTTATGAATTACAATAGATTATTTCCTCTTCTCTAAATTATATAAATTTGATAATACAATTAAATAGATTATTATTGCAAAGTATTGCTTATTTGTGAAGCAAAAGTCTATTATAAATGGGAATATTTTAATCTGTTTGTATAATCTTATAATAAAAGTATTAATGTACCTGAAATAGAATAGACGTCGACAAAATTCCAAAAAATAAAATTAACTGAACACGAACCAATTTAGATTGTTGATAAGGCCATAAACCAATTGTAAGTAATAGAGTCCTATTGAGCTTAATGTGTAGAGGATCAGTAGAGATCATGTCTCGTCGAGTATTGAAATACGTTTGACAATACGTTTGAGCGGTATATTTCTTCTTATCATTTTTTATGAATAATTGATTAAATTTCATATTATTTTTCCATCTTTTAATATAAATTGGTCAATTTAATACCGCACAAATTACAGTACAAATACTATATAACAAAATATCACCTTGGAATCAAATTATTTTCATTATTTAGTTTTCCTCAGACTAAACTGACGATTAAATGATCAATAAAATATAGCGAGGACAACCGTTTACTTCCCAAAGAAAAAATATTAGTAAACGTATATATATATATAATAGATTGCGCAAGTGTGTTTGTTGATTTTCTTCATTGTCGTGTCTTATTTATTTTGTAGTGTGTAAGTTAGTAAATTAACTTTTTTTTGTTCTTTTAATAAGTAAACATACACTTGTCCATTAATATTAGCATTAAATTTTTTATGTATTTTTTATGCATTTTATTATTAATATTTAATGTAAAGAAAATATGTGTCTTTTAATATTATAGATTTTATTGCTATCTTTTCGGCATCTGCTGTAAGCATTTCTTATAAAGTTATTTATTAATTGTTAAATTTTGCTATATATTACTAATCAATATTAAATGATATTTTATTTGTATCTTATAAAATCTATTTTACTATTGCTGAATTACTATATTAGATCATTTATTTTGCATAGAGTGAAAAAGAATGAAATATGATGGTATTGCATTCATCAAGTATAATATACACAAACGTTTTCTTAATTTATCTGTTTAAAATACATTTGATAAGCTAAAAATTTATTATTTACTGTAAGCAGCACCTTCCAAAGATCCAATAAATAATCCAGCGACATTCAAAATAAAGGCCTTGCTATCTCTTTGCAAAAGAAATAAAATCATTTTTTGTATTTGTAGAGGAGTTCTATATCACCGAACATTGTATCTATGTGAAAACAAATTAATTAATCTAAGAGAATATGAGAATTTATAATTATATAATTTTATGATTTGTTTCCTTATTTCTCATATAATTCTTATTATGCAATAGTTCATGGATTGTATTTATTTAAATATGTATTAGGAATATCTCGTTTACAAAATCGCAAATACAAGTTTATTATGATTTATCATTTGTTGTTCTATATAACTTTCAATAAAAAAATTAATAAATACAAAATGTGCGAATAGCATAGATGAATAGAAACTTCTCAATATTAAATGAAACTATGAAAAATTTGAAATCCATTAAATTTAAATATAGTACTCTAGCAATCTTGATACAAGTCGTAAGTGAAATAATTATTTATTTTGTTGCTAGTTAATAAGGATATTTATATGCATAATATGACTTATTCGAAAATAATTAATGGTTGTACAAGTGTTACTCCATTTGTTACTCCAACTATCATGAGGAAGAACATTACTTTAAATTTGGATATTGACAAATCGGAAAAGTTATTTTAAAAAGTAATTGAAAAAAAAGATGTTTTATACTTATTTTGTAATTATTTTATATAAACAAATTGTGAATTAAGGAGCGATTTCATATCTTATATCTTTACGATGTCAGCGACACAATCAGCTGATCATATTAATTATGTTTTATGCAACATATTAATTGCCATTGCTCGTTCGATACGATAACTGCACTGATTTTTATACCATAATTAAATAGAATACTTAATTCTTGTATTTAGATATTTTTTGTTTTTTTTACATTTGTTCTCTTACCTGACAATTCGGAACATTCCATGCATGCTGTTCATAAACTATGAGCAATATGCCTGTTGCTAATTACATTGTAATTATTCCTATGAAAGTAACCGCGTTTATATGAATTAAAATTAAGTAGTAGTATTTTTCTTGATCGACAAAGTATTCAGTTATAAACAGCAATGATAGATGAAATCGAGTCTCATTTATGAGGAATAGGATATCATACAAAATCGACCAAAATTGATTCAGCAATAAAATGGATATTCCAAATACACAAAATACTGTACAAAAATTTTAAAATCAGTACATTTGATTAAGAAACGTATTAAATATTTCAAGTATAGTTTTAAGCTGTATGTAAGATATACTATTGTAAAAATAATTGTCATACATATCAGTGCAATTGTATAGCGTTTAGCGTTGCTACCATATTTTTTTATAATATCTATTTCATTTTCATCAGATAAATCATCACAGATATGCTGCAGATATGCTCCAGTAAATACTTTACCTATTATTTTTACAATATACTCGATTGCTTTTCTTGATTAAATTTGAGAAAATAATATTTATTTATATTGGTATTTATATTGTACAATAGTGAAAATATTTACGTATTTTCCCATACAGCACAAATTTTGCGTATATATTGCAGCAACATTACTACAATAGTGATGCAATATAACCTTACAGTTTACATTGTATGGCTTTATACATATTCGAATACAACAGATTTACTTACGACTTCGATGTTCATACTAAATGAACCATAGATTATTATAAAAACAGTGTAATATAATGCAGAAGAAAGAACTTTAATGAGGAGGTCCAAAGTATATTTTGAAGTCAGAAATATTATAAACTATAAAAAATGAATTTATATAATAGAAACATTGAAATATAACGCATTACTTATATCACTGTTATAATTATTTTTCTTCAGTAATGAATTGATTTCGATTATACTTCTTTATTAATCTTTATTGACTTTAATGGTAATATAACATTTTTTAAGAAACGATAACGATAACATCGTTAGTTTTTGTATTTACATAAGTACAATTATTATGTTTTAAAAAAATAGGACAAACACAAATGAGGTTTTAAAATTACATATTCAAAATTTGATAAAAATATAACAGAAATTTAGTTCAGCATTCCATGAATAATGATAATGCATTTCTTCTTTCAGAGGATAATTATTATTTTTAATAGATAATGAATAATAATAACAAATTATTTTTTAAAAGTAACTCAATTCTGCATAATAAATTGTATTATAATTATAATTATTGTATTTATTGTATTATAATTATAAATTATCAATTAAATTATCAATTCAATATTAATTCTTTTATCCGGCGATAAAGTTATTGTTGTTAATTCTTATAAATTAAAATTGTTAATTGTGATATATGTATAATAACTTATTATTATGATTTTACTTTCACAGTTTTTATAAATTAGAATGGAATATTTTTGCTTCTCTAGTTTATATAAATTTAATAATATAATTAAATGGATTATAATACTAAATGTATAATTATTGCAAAGCACTTATTTGTAAAACAAAAGTCTGTTATAAAGGAAAATATTTTAAGCTATTTATATAATTGTATAATAAAAAATATCAATATACTTGAAATAAAACGGACGTCGACAAAATACTAAGAAATAAAATTAACTGAACACAAATCAATTTAGATTGTTGATAAGATCATAAATCAATTGTAAATAATAGAGTTCGATTGAGATTGATGTGTAAGGAATCGCTAGAGATGTCTCTTCGAGTATTAAAATACGTTTGATAGAAGCGATAGGTTTGTTTCTTACTATTTTTTATTGTTAACAATTGTTAAATTTTCTATAGTATTATTAATCTATCTTTTAACACAAATTGTCTAATTTAATATAAGGCAATGTATAAGTATGACTGGAATTAAATTATTCACAATTTGATAGTTTTAAACTCGGAGTTGGATAATTTTAACTTCAGCATAAACCGATGATTAAATGATCAATAAAATATAGCGAATTGAGGACAAATGTTCCCAAAGAAAAATATAATATTGGTAAATGTATTCTCTGACACTTGGTTACATAAGTCTGTTTGCTGATTTCCATATTTTATTGTGTTTCATTTTTTTTTAGTGCATCGGCTAGTAAGTAACATTTTGATGTTTAATAACGTAACATCTCAGCTGTACATTATTAGCATTAAGTTCTCATAAATTTTTTTATATACTTTATTAATATATGTTGTTATAAAGAAAATATGTGTTTTAACGTTACTATAAGCTCTATTGTTATTTTTTCATCTCGGTGTCTATAAGCATTTTTTTATTTATTATTCATTGAAATTAGCTCCATATCAACCAATGTTCTCGTTTGTACCTTGTAAATTCTATTTTACTATTACTGAGTTACTATTAGATAGTTAGTATTAGATATATTATTAGATCATCTATTTTGCGCAGAGTGAAGAAGAGAAAAATATGATAGTGTTGCATTCATCAACTGCAATATATGCTTTTATTTTTATTTATCTGTTCAAAACATATTTGATAATTAAAATATCTATTACTTACTGTACAGCACCTTCTTGTGCTTAACAGGCTCTATTTTGCAATTATTGGTTTATTATATTCTGAGTTCATCTTTGTGTAGAATGTAGAAAAGTGAAATATGATAGTATAGCTTTCATCAGCTGTAATACATGTTTCCATGCTTTATTTATTTAAAATACATTAAAACATTAGCTAATATATGCTACTTACTGTGGCAGCACCTTCAAGTGAGTCAATAAATAATCCAGCAATATTCAAAGTGAAGGTCTTGCTACCTCTTTGCAAAAGAAACAATATCATCTTTTGTATTTGTAGGGGAGCTATGTACCACTGAACGTTGTACCTACATGAAAACAAATTAATTATCTAAGAGATATAAGAATTTATAATTTTGTGACATGTTTCCTTGTTTCTCATGCCATATGATTCCTATTGTGCAACAGTTTATAAATCATATTTGTTTATATAGGTATTACGCATATCTCCCTTACACAGTCTCAAATACAAGTTTATTGTGATCTATAATTTGTTGCCCAATATGACATCCAATACACAGATACAAAACATATGTCTGTGCAAATACTATAGATGACAGAAACTTTTCAGTGTCAAATCCAAATGAAACTATCTGAAAAATCTAAAATCTACTAAATTTAGATATAATACATTAACAATCTTGATACAAATTATAAATATATCAATTATAAATAATTTGTCTTATCGTTAGTTAGCAGATATATTTACAAATAAGTTTACAATATAACTTACCCGAAAATAATTAATAGCTGTACACATCATTCCGGCTACTATCATAAGGAAGAACATTCCTTTAAATTTGGATACTGATAAATCAGAAAATCTTTAACGAAAGGAAAAGATATTTTTTATTCATTTCATAATTATTTTAAATAAATAACTTATTATTAAGTACCAACTTCATAGCTTTACGATGCATATCAACGCCACAGATTAATCTCTTATGGACCAATATTTTCTTCTTTAAGTTATTCTCATACACCATGTCGATTGCCATTGCTCGTTTGATACGATAACTGTACGTGATTTGTATCATAATTAAATATCATAATTAAATAGTATGTCTAAGTCTCCTATTTAAATATTTTTTTATATTTGTTCTCTTACCTAGCAATTCGAAACATTCCACACGCAAGTTGTTGATAAACATTGATCATTGTTCCTGTTGCTACCATTGCAATTATTCCTATGAAACTGGCCGCATTTATATGTATCAAAATTAAATAGTAATATTTCTCTTGATCGACGAAGTATTCGGTTATAAAAAATAATGATAAATGAGATCGAGTCTCATTTATGGGGAACAAAATATCGAATATAAGCGGCCAAAATTGGTAGAAAAATAAAATAGATGTTACAAATAGGGCAAGTGCTACACAAAAATTTTTAAATCAATACGTTTAATCAAGATGCGTATTAAATATTTCAGATAGATTTTTAAGTTTTATGTAACATATGCTAAAACAGTTGTCTTACATATCAATGCAATTGTGTAGCGTTTAGCGTAGCTACCATATTTTTTTATAATATCTATTTCATTGTGATCAGATAATTCATTATAAATATGTTGCTGTTGTTCCAGTAAGTATTTTACCTATTATTTTTACAATGCTATGTATACTGCTTTCCTTAATTAAATTGGACAAGATAATAATGTTTATATTGTATACAAATGATCCGTTCAGAAAATATACTATGTTTATGTATATTCAAATATAATACATTTGTTTTACTTACGATTTCAACATTCATGCTAAATGCACCATAGTTTATTATAAGAAAGGTGTAATATAATGTAGAAGAAAGAACACTAATAAGGAGATCCATAGTATATTTTGAAGTCAGAAATATTGTAAACTATAGAAAATAAATTTATAGTAGTATACATATTTATATCATCGTTATTGTTACAGTTATCTTTTTTCAGTATTGATTTCGATATTATATTTTCTTATTAACTTTATTAACTTTAATGATAATGCAACTACATTTTTGAACAATGATAACAGGTAAAACTTTTATCATTATTTTATATATAATTATTACGTTTTATATGTATGTATGTTTTATATATATATATATATATATATAGGACATAAATGAAATAAAAATCTTTAAAAATTTTATATAATGTAATGTAAATTCAGTTTGTTATTACATGAGGAGCTTATCAATTTAGTATATTACATAGTAGGTTATATTGAAATTATATTATTTTATTTATGACGAAAGAAATATTGTAATTATTGTAAATTAAGATTAATATTTGTAGTTTTAGTATTTATATAATAATATAATTTACGATTTTACATATACAGATTTAATGAAATAGAATTGAGAATTTTCTATTTTCTAGTTACGATTTTGATAACATAATTATACGGATAATTATTTTAAATATATAATTATAGCGAAGCATTGATTTATGCAAAAATTTGTTACGTACGAAATTATCCTAAGTTGTTTGTATAATTGTACACTAACAAATATACCTGAACATCATCAACGTACCTGAAATAGAATAGATGTTGACAAAATACCGAGAAATAGAATTAATTGTACACGAACAAGTTTAGATTGTTGATAAGGCCATAAACCAATTGTGAGTAATAGAATCCGATTGAGATTGATTTGTAGGGAATCGGTAGAGATCATGTCTCGAGTGACTAACATACGTTTGACAGAAGCGGTTTGCTTCTTACCATTTTTGAATAATCGGTTAAATTTTTTATAATATTATTCTGCTATTTTTTAACATAAATTGTTCAATTTAATACAACGCAAGATATTAAAGAAATATCACTAAGGAATCAAACTATTCAAATTATTCTTAATTTTAGAATTAGGTTTTTTTTCAAAGTAAGCCGACGATTATGCGATCAATGAAATTGTTATGAATTGAGGACAGATGTTTGTTTCCCATAGAAAAAAATATTAGTAAATATATTTCCTGACAATGTGTCGCGCAAGCGCATTTGCTGCATTTCCACAGTTTGTCGTGTCTCATTTGTTTTGTAGTGCATGAATAAGTAACATTTTAGAAATGTAACGAGTATTCAGCTTCGTACATTAACATTAGCATTAATTTTTTATAAATGCATTATTTTATATTATATTATTAATATTTATTGCTGTAAAAAGAAATTTTGTATTCTAATATTACTAGACACTATTGTCTTCTCAACGTCTGCAATGCTGAGCATTCCTTGTGAAGTTATTTATTATCACTTGTTAGATCTTTCTCTGTATTATTAATTAATTAACTAATATTATTTATACCTAATAGATTCCGTTTTGCTACTATTGGTTTACTATGTTATTAATTCATCTACTTTGCGTAGAATGAAGGACAGTGAAGTATGATAGCGTTGCACTCACCAACTGAAATATGTGCTTTTCTATTTTATCTATTTAAAATACATTTAATATGTTAGCTAAAATGTACTTAACTAAAATTACTTACTGTAGCAGCACCTTCAAACGATCCCACAAACAATCCAGCAATATTTAAATTAAAAACCTTGCTACCTCTTTGCAAAAGGAATAATATCATTTTTTGTATATGTAGGGGAGCTGTATACCACCGAACGTTGTATCTATGTAATGACCAAATCAATTGATGAAAAAAAGTGAGAAAATTTATAAATAATTTTTATTATGTTATTGTTTTGCTGTTTGAACTATATTAATCTTTATTACAATAGTTGAAAGAATAATTGTATTATTATTATTATTATTATTATTATATATTTGCCCTACACAGTGACAAGTACATCATTATTGTGATCCATAATTTTTTGTCCAAAATAACTGCCAAGAAACATGTATAAAGCATTGGTAATTAAAAATATCACAGGGAACAGAAGCTTCTCAATATTATATCCAAATGTAACTATCTGAAAAAGCTAAAATCCACTAAATTTAACTAGAATGCACTAACTAATTTGATAGAAATTAAGTATTGATACCAAAACAGAATTGACTAATTAAAATTATCCATAAAAATAAGATAATAGCAATTTATCTTTTTATTAAATTAAGAGTATTTACAAGTAAATAATAGGACTTACCCGAAAAAAATTAATGGCTGTGGAAATCACGCCAGCCACTATCATGAGAAAGAACATTACTTTAAATCCGGATACTGATGAATCGGAAAATCTTTAACCGAAGAAAAATTTGCTATATATACTCTATTTGCTATACATACTCTATACAAATTATCAATTCAATACTAACTTCATAGCCTTACGATGCATATCAACGGCGCAAATTAATCCTTTATAAATTAGAGTTTCTTTTATTAAATTGTTCTTATAGAGAGTATCGATTGCCATTGCTTGTTCGATACGATAACTGCAAGTGATTTTCGTGCTATATTTATATAGCATCTTTAATTTTTTAATTTAAATGTTCTGTCTTTTTTGTATTTTTTACCTGGCAATTCGGAACATTCCACATGCATGCTGTTGATAAACTATAAATATTGTTCCTGTCGCTAACATTGTAATTATCCCTATGAAAGTTGCTGCATTTATATGTATCAAAATTAAATAATAGTATTTTTCTTGATCGATAAAGTATTCGGTTACAAGCAGCAATCCTAGATGTGGTCGTGTCTCATTTATGGGGAACAAAATATCAAACATAAACGGCCAGAATGAGTACAAAGTGAAAACAGATGTTAAGCTCATGCTTAGTACTGTGTGAAAATTGTTTTAAAATTATTTTCGTTAGATTTAAATACAAAAGAAATTGTTTGATTAAGAATTTTGTTATGTGATTTTAAGAGGATGCTATAGTGATTTATTTTACCGATCAAATGTGATTTATAATTTTCATAAAAGCTTTCCGCTCATATTGCCTTGATGGATTCGGAAACTCTTTTCCAGAATTAAAATATATGTATTATGTTTAGAACATTTATGCCAAGGGCAAAAACATTTTTTTAAAATTAGATTTTTTTTTATTATTTGCTATTTTTATATGATATCTAAAGCTGTCAACTTTTGCTTTATACAAATTTCTATAGCCTGTACCTATAATATTGATATTTTTAAAGAAGCAACTTATATGAAAAAACAATATTGAATTTTTAAAATTAAACATCTAATATAATATAAAAAAATTTATATAAAAATTTGTGCTTATGCGTACAAAAATGTTTGTGTCTGTGGTGTGTGTATTTAACCTTAGCTCGTCACATCTATTTTTAGCTTTCTCGCCACACTGGTGTGGGCGGGGTGGGACCCCGTAATTTTGCCACACTACATGTCCGAACTGAAGGCATATTTTTTAGCTCAGATATAAAATCGATACTTCACACATAGATAAGATAAAAACAGATAAATAAAAATCAAACCTAAAATATTTTATTTTCAAGTAATTATAACAGTTTAAAGAAATTTTATTGTAAAAAGTTATAACAATGTGAAAAATCGTACTGAGTACATCGTACCCGGTATGGCGAATGTGCATATATGCATTTCTGTCAGTGTTTCTCATCATCTTAGCATCCTCTTAAACTCAAACTTTAATTTTTCTATAAGAAATATTAAAAACAGTTGTGTCTCTTACTTAATAATGTAGCTGTGTAGCGTTTTGCGTTACTACCGTATTTTTTTATGATATTGATTTCATTTTCATCAGATAATTCATTATACATATGCTGTAGTTGTTCCAACAAATCTTTTACCTATATTTTTATAATATTCTATGTTATTCTTCTTGATTAAGATCATATTCATACATCATAATCATATTCATTAATATACAAAAATCCGTTTCCAAAAATATCTATCTCTATGCATATTTGAATACAATACATATATTTTACTTACGACTTCAATATTTATACTAAATGAACCATATGTAATTATAAATATAATGTAAAATAATACAGAAGCAAGAACATTAATAAGAAGATCGAAGGTACATTTTGAAGTTATAAATGTTGTAAACTGCAGAAAATAATTTTATATAATAAATTTTATTAAAATTATTAATTTTATTAAATTATTTTTTGTATGAGGAAAATATTCTATTATGTATAAATTGATTTCTTTTTATTAATCATCTAATATAAATATTAAATAATAAAGTATACTATATACCAAATTTTAATTAATCAGAAATAAATGTATTTTTTTTGTTTTTATAAATTTGTTAGATATAATTATATTAGCAATACTATATGATTGT